CCTGCCTCTGCCTCCCAAGTGCTGGGATTAAAGGCGTGCGCCACCAACGCCCGGCTCCCAACCTCTATTTTTATTCTTTAAAATTTTATTTATTTATTGCCTGTGTTTGTGAGTCCGTGCTGGCATAGGCGTGGCTGTCAGAGGACACCTTTGGAGTTGGTTTTCTCCTCCCACCGAGCTGGGTCCTGGACTTCAAATTCAGGTAGTCCAGCTTTGTGGCAAGGGCCTTTACCTGCTGAGCAATCTCACCAGCCCGCATTTCTCTATAAGACATAATTTAAAACTCTTCCACATGAAAAACCTACAATTTGGGATTAGGCAAGTCGGTTGATTTTGAAATTCTTCTTTGTTCTTGGGTTGGAAAAGAATGTATATTCTGTGTTGATAGTTCCTCAAGGCAGAGAAGAGCCACCACGTACCCCGTGGGGTGGAGAGGCTCAGTCTGTCTAAAGTTCCTGATAATCCCTGAAGGCAGATTGAGTGGCTCATCCCGTGTAGAGTGGGCTTACTTTAGAAGGGGACTTCCATTGTTTTAGATGATCTCATTCTACTTTAGTGTTCCACCACATAAAGTGGGAGAATTTCTTTTGTCTTACGATGCTGCTCAAATGTACCAAATACCATAAGTCACGTCACTTAAAACATTTTTCTGTTTTCACAATTGATTTGTGCTTATGGGTGGTGTGTGTGTGTGTGTGTGTGTGTGTGTGTGTGTGTGTGTGTACCGTTTGCATGTATGGTGCTGGCATCATCAGAGTCCAGAAGAGGAGGCTGAAGGTCAAGAGCTGAAGTGTGGTGCTGGGAATGAAGGCCTGGCCCTGGAAGAGCGGCCAGAGCCCTTCCCAGTTATTTCATCTAGTTACACAAAAGCAGGTGTGGTGTGCACTTGAACTAGAAAAAAACCTTTTAATTGAAAGCCCACTTTAAAGGTCAGTTTTCGGGAATTTTAATTACTGATTCTTGTTTACTTTGTTTGTGGTAGACCAGGTCATAGAATTATCAACGACATTTCACTTTCAAAATTAAGCACAAGTTGATTCTCACATCTACACACACACACAATTGGGGCTGTTTATCAGGTTACCTTTGAGTCTGGATGTTGCTGGTAAATTTATTTTCTTCCTCTTCTCTCCCCTCCTTTCTTTCCCTTCCTCCCTCCCTCTTTTTTTCTACCCCAGGATTGAACCCAGGGCCTTGTGCATACTAGGCAATTGCTGTACCCTTAAGTACATAACTGACATTAAGAACATGCTCTACAGGCCTTTAATATTTTCATGATTTCCAAAAAAGATTCAGTTGTGCATATCTTGACACTCTGAATTCTGTGGTTAGTACACACTGAACAAATATCTCCATTTTTGTAGTTCTCAAGCTTTTGAGCTTTCCAACTTAACCAATCAGTAATTCAATTTTTCCGCGTGTGTGTGTGTGTGTGTGTGTGTGTGTGTGTGTATTTTTTTTTTTTTTTGTTGTTTTTTTTTGTTGACTGCTTTTTTTTTTTAAATTTTTTTTGGTTTTTCGAAACAGGGTTTCTCTGTAGCTTTGTGCCTTTCCTGGATCTTACTCTGTAGACCAGGCTGGCCTCGAACTCACAGAGATCTGCCTGCCTCTGCCTCCTGAGTGCTGGGATTCAAGGCATGCGCCACCACCGCCTGGCCTTATAAGTTCCCTGCAGTACATTTTAATGCTTTTTAATTTTCTTTTTCTTTGCTATTCTGGGGATTCAGCCCAGGTCCTTAAGGATGCTAGCTAGATAAGCGATCTACCACTGAACTACAATGCCAGCCCTTTAGTGCATTTTAAAGTTCTGACATACGTGCCACCTCAAATGTTTCAAACATTAAATCTCACACATTGAAGATTAGGTGAATGATGATATGTAAGTCCTGTATCTATTGATTTAAAACAGGGACTAATGTGTGAGTTTATTTGCAAATAGTATAAAATTGTATAAAAGCCAGTTCTATAAGGGAGAGAGGCTAAAATAGTTTATTAAAGAACAAACCTATTGACAGGTTACTAGCAGTTGTATCTAACGGATTATTAAGGGTATTATATAGTAATATTTAGAGCACTAAAATTCCACTATTCAAAATACTTTGTACGTCTTCTTAGCTTAAGAGAATTGACTGGTGCTGTGGGGGCGCACGCCTTTTTCCTTTCAGCACCCCGGAAGCAGAGGCAGCCGCGTCTGCATATGGAGTCCCAGGCCATATGTAATAGAAAACAATACCACCAACGATAATTGCCTGACATCGTATGCTTTCATCAGTGTTTACTACTAGTCTTCCTGGAAACATTTGATTAATTAGACCACCAGAGGGAGTGTAGGGTCTACACATTTGATATGACTGTTTTTTTTACCCTTAGTCTGGAAGCAAAACATTTAAAAAGTAAGAAAAAGTTTCATTTTAGTTCTCTGGAACAACCAGGCCAACCATAGTGAAAGTCGGAGATTGTAGCTATTTGGAGTTGTTATGCTTTCTGTGACGAAGCTCAAGGCTTCATCAAGACTTTTTTTTTACTTTTAGAAGAAGATACATTATTACAGAAATGAAAATGATACATTTTCAGAGTGAAATAATGGGTTTTTAAGTAAACAGGCATACAGCTGTGAAAGGGAACATCCACAGGCGCAGAATATTTCTTCATATTTACAATGTGATACCTTTGAAGTGTATAGTTTTGAAATTGCTCAGTGCTTGCAAAGAGGAGTACAAGATGAAGAAAGGCCAAGCCTGGAAGGGGTTGCATCTTCCTTTTCTGGTTGCAGCTGTCCTTTGGTGGCCAGCCGTAAGTTTCTAGAACCATCTGTAGCATTCTGTTTCTATCTTGGCTACTGTTAAATGTATCAGGATGTGTTCATCTGAGTGTCAAAGCAGGGTTGCAAATTTCAAATTGATCTTTTAAAAAGTCAGATTGTTTTAAAGGAGAAAAAAGATTAATGATTCTTACTCCAGCATCCTTCAAGCTTGACGGTAGTGGTATCTTTTTTTCCTTTTCCTTTTCCTTTTCTTTCTTTCTTTTTTTTTTTTTTGACTACCTAAATGTTACTATGACGGAATGTGATGGCAACTAAATTATCTAGAGAAGCCAACAAAACACTTACTTTTCACCCTTGAAATAGGAACTAATGTTGGAAGAACATTGAAGATTTGGAGGGTCGGTTCTACTGATAAAGTGAGGTCTTTATTAAAAAATAAACTAGACTTGTATGTGTTTCTTAATGTTTGTGTCTCTGGAAATGAAGTCCTTTCTTGATTCCCAGCTGAAAATTCCACAGTAGAATTGAGTCAAAATGTCTATCACGGACTTAATGTGGTGAAGCTACTTTTTTGACTGGAGAAAACATCTTAGAGATTGAGTCCTTATCAGCATATATTCTGAATAAGCATGATATTCTTCACCTATGTTAAATATTAACTGGTGAAATTGTTTCCATATGTAACTTTTGACAGAGCAAAAAAAAAATCTTGAACAGATTTTGGGTTTTGTCTTTGATGTAAAAATTACTGTGTAGTCGATGGTAAGATCCCATGTTCTGTTTCTGGGAGAGGCTTGTGAAGACATATTTGTCTCACTGCGGTGCAGCACCAGTTTAAGTGGGAGAAAACTCTCTTCTTGTGCTCCTAGATAGGAGGACAGTCAAGAAAAGCTGAGATGGTCACCTTCCCATCGTAGGTTTATTTTACTGGGAACTTAGTAAGCTCTTCAAAAACACGATTCGTGGGGCTGGTTAAGAATACTCATTGCTCTTGTAGAGGACCAGGTGTAACTCCGGTTCCAGAGGATCTGACGCCCTCTTCTGACCTCTGTGGGTGCGTGGTGGGCATAGATACATGCAGGCAAAACACTCACATGCATAAAATAAATCTTTACAAAATTGTTTTGGGTTCATATATAATCTATACAAATATACATCTGATATATATATATATGAGATATATATACATCTGATGTATATATACATCTGATATATATATATATATACATCTGATATATATATATATATACCAGATTATCAATTGTCCGTATTATATATAACTACATAAGTGTGTGTATATGAACATGCACACATAAAAATATGTACACACATAATTGCTCTATGTGTTTTTGTGTGTTTAGCACTCCATTCTGGTTTATTTAAAGGTGAACCTCTCTCCCTTTTTCCCATTTCAGTGAAACAGGCTGCATTGAGATGAACAAAGTATATACTCAGGAAGAGGCTGGTACAGGATGTTCACAACAGCCTTTGCAGTAGAAATGAACTGCTGGTTCCCACCGCGGAGGAGAGGGAACTCAGAAATACTGGTCAGGACAAGCTAGACACAGCATTTTACTTTATGAAAAGCAAGGGACAGGCAAAACCAAGACATGGTGGTAGGACTGAGGACTGTCTTAGGTAGGACGGTGCTTCACAGAAAGGGGACCTTCCCGGAATGATGAAAGTCAAGTGATTTTCTTTTTCTTTCTTTTCTTTACTTTTTTTAATACTTGCATTCTTTCTTTCTTTCTTTTCCCAATAATTCATTTATGTGCATTGGTGTTTTGCCTGCATGTATGCTTGTGTGAGGGTGCAGATCCCCTGTAACTGGAGCCACAGACAGTTGTGAGCTGCCATGTGGGTGCTGGGAATTGAACCCAGGTCTGCTTCAAGAGCAGCCAGTGCTCTTAACTGCTGAGCCATCCCTCCAGCCCCACGTGATTTACTTTTTAAGTAATGTTGATTTTCTTATGTTTGGGGTGTGCGTGTGCGCGCGCGTGCATGTGCGTGCAGGTTTACTTGCCCATGTGTGTTTATGTGGAAGCCAGAGGTCGACATTCTCTTTCACTATTGCTCATCCACCTTAATTTTTTTTTCCCTGAGACCAGATTTCTCTGTGTAGTTTGGTGGCTGTTCTTGAACTCACTCTGTAGAAAAGGTTTGTTGCTCGGCTCCACCTTAATTTTTGAAGCATGGTATCTCACTGAGCCTGGAGCTTTTAGCTTGACTGGCCGGCCTGTGTGCTCTTCATCACTGATGTTCCAAGCCTGCATCACCACGCCGTTTTTACATGGGTGCTGGGATTAGAACTTAGGTTCTCAGGCTTACATGGCAAACCCGTTACCCACAGAGTGACCCCCCAGTCTCTGTTTTTTAACTTCCAGAAAAGTGCAAGATCAGTACAAAGAATTTTATGTTCATCTTTATCCAAATCTACCAGTTATTTCCACGTGTTCAGACTTAGTAAACTGTGCGTTGTATGGTATGGTCATTGCATTTTTAGCCAAGGAGAAAAGCTTTAAAGCGTGTTGAAAGTGAGAAGTGGTCTTACCAGAAGAAAGTGGGGTAGCCCAACCGTAAATTCGCTGACCGATGAATAACAGGAAAGAGAACAGGTGACCGTCCCTTGTGTGTGCTGCTTTTCACTGAAGTTGCACGTGTTTTGTTGGAAGAAGCAGGGTCCAGAGCATAACTGCTAGGACACCCTGCTTCCTTACGTTGTCCTGTGCATGCCGCCGCCGCCGGGACTGACACCTAGCAGTGCTTTCCTGGAACTGAAGGTGGTGTTCATTCCTGGGAAAGCGTTGCACACCCACAGTATGCCAGTTTCTGCACAGACATGTATAGTTCCAGTGTTCTGGACCCTAGACAAAGGGAGAGGAGGCCAGAAAGCCTGGCTCTCATCTTTGGGTGGTGCTCTTTATCAGAGGGAGAAGAGCTTGGGGTTTGCAAACCGTGTCTGTCTGGGTGAGTCTCCCATAGCCTCAACGTGACTGAGTGAAGAACTATACATACCTGCTTTAAATAGTGATGGGTTTAAACATCATTTCCCTTCTTGCTCTTTTGTATAATTTTCAGTATATGTTCATTGCCATTTAAGATTAACTATATATAGTTTATAGGTATTAGTTTTTTTTTTTAAAAAACAACTTTTTTTTAAAAAACCTCTGTATCAAAGTTTTTAGTTATTTCCTAGATTGGGGAATATTTAAAGTATCTAGAGATCCGTGTAGTTTTGGTGCCTTTCCTGGATCTCACTCTGTATCCCAGGCTGGCCTCGAACTCACAGAGATGCACCTGCCTCCCAAGTGCTGGGATCAAAGGCGTGCGCCACCACTGCCCCTCTCTTACTGCCTTTCTTTAAAACAAAGCAAAAAGAAAAAAAAAAAGAAAAAGAAAAAGAAGAAAGGAAGAAACAAAAGCTGAAGTTGCTGCAGAGATAGCTCAGTGGTTAGGAACATTTGTTGCTCCTGCAGAGGCTCCATTTGACTCCCAGCAGCCACACAGCAGCTCACCATCGCCTGTAACTGGAGATCCAATGCCATCTTCTGGCTTCCACAGGCACCAGGCGCTCACATGTTGCACAGATATTTATGCAGGCACACATGCATATAAACAGGTCTTTGCTGGGCGTGTGTCACACTATTAATCCCCGTGCTAAAAAGGCAGCAGTAGGCAGATCTCTCTGAGTTTGAAGTCTACATAGCAAGTTCTTGGCCAGCCAGGGCTACGTCATGAGACCCAGTCTCAAAAACAAAAAAACAAACCTTGAAACTTTAAAACTAATGTTAACAGTGAAGCTGATGGCTGTCTATTGTGAACTATTATTATGCCTCTTTAATTTGTCAGTTTGTTTTTGGCTTTCTTCTTTCCCTTATTCTTGTTTTTTAATTTTCTTTTTTTTCTTTTTTTCCTTTTATTTTATTTTACAATACCATTCAGTTCTACATATCAGCCACGGGTTCCCCTGTTCTCCCCCCTCCCACCCCCTCCCCCGAGGATTGTGATCAACCTGGTAGACTCAGTCCAGGCAGGTCCAGTCCCCTCCTCCCAGACTGAGCCAAGCG